GACTTAATCACCCTGACAATACTGGGGGAGCAGTACAGATTTTTAAGCTCGTCATTGTGCAGTTTTCTCCACGCCCCATCGTCTTCCCTCTTAGGCCCAAATATCCTCCTCAACACCCGATACTCAAACACCTGCAATTTGGGTTCCTCCCTCAGAGTGAGAGACCATGTTTTGCACCCATACAAAACAACAGGCATTTTTTGTCTTCAGGATCTTAGAAATCAGACAAAATATTTTGAACCTTCATTATTACTACTTTCTGAATTATAACAACAACAAAACAATTATAATAACTTTGAGAATGTAGAGGCGATGTGTTTAAACTGTGTTCTAGGGCTTTTGGAGTAAAAACCGTGTCCAAACAAATTTTTGTTAAATAATTATAAGTTTCAATTGTTTATAACAAAAACCACGAAGCACACTGTTGATCAGAATCTTACAGTCGTTCACCTTCTTAATAAGCAACATTTAATTAATTAATTAAGTACTAATTAAACTGTGAACACAGATATATGATCCCATTCTTCTTTTTTGAAACCCGAATGTTCATTACCGTCTTCACAAAAGCTGGCCAGATACATTCTGACCACCTCCTAACACGTACCCTTCAGATTCATTTTAATATTATCTTCATGTCTACTTTTACTTCTTTCAAATGGTCTTATCATTTCAGACCATTCTCATAAGAAATGTAGTAAATAAATGTTTATTTATTCAACAAGAAAGGTAAATGATTTTTATGAGTGACTCTAATACTCGTTTTAATTACACGCATTGCAGGAAAATGCACGACAAGGTGGTTATGGTTGCTACGGACACTTGTCAGCCAGGGACTCTTGCAGCTCTCTAGCCACGCACGGCAACCAGCAGCTTCAGCGCGAGGAGGCGGTCGAATGCGCCCTGGCCATGCGCTCGCTGGAGCAGACATTTTGCCCGCCTTACCACGACCTCTCGTCCAATCAGGTGAGAGAACCGTCTGCTTCACTCTTCAATTAGAAGACGTACAATTTCGTAACCAGGAATTGTTCATCTGCGTGTCCGTCTGTCCCGAAAAACGTTAAACGGACTTTCGTGATATTTTATATCGATAAAAATTTGTCAACGTCCCATTTATGGTTAAAATTTTGACAATAATAACAGTCGATTTACCGGAAGACTGAAGCATTTTGACACGCCGAAGTGATAACCCATTCAGAATCTCCCGCCCACACAAAGGTCGTTGACCACAAAGAACTCTTCTATTCCCAAAGGACAAAAGTCATTGCTTGGCGGATGAAATAGTTCGCCTTAAGTTCTCGTTTTGAAATACATGAGAGCATTCACGGATTGAAAATCTAGGGGCATGGCGGAGAAAGTGGAGCAAGATTTTGCAATTCCAACGTTGAGTGATGTTAGGTTACGTTAGGTTGGGTTGGGTAGAGTTTATTTAGGTTGGGTTGGGTTAGGTTAGGTTGAGTGAAGTTAGGTTACTTTAGGTTGGATATGTAAGGTTAGGTTAGGTTAGGTTAGGTTAGGTTAAGTTAGGTTAGGTTAGGTTAGGTTAGGTTGGGTTAGGTTGGGTTGGTTTGGTTTGGTTTGGTTTGATTTGGTTTGGTTGGGTTGGGTTGGGTTAGGTTAGGTCAGGTTAAGTTAGGTTAGGTTGAGTGATGTTAGGTTACGTTAGGTTGGATATGTAAGGTTAGGTTAGGTTGGGTTGGGTTAGGTTAGGTTGTGTTGGGTTGGGTTTGGTTTGGTTTGGTTTGGTTGGGTTAGGTTAGGTCAGGTTAAGTTAGGTTAGGTTGAGTGATGTTAGGTTAAGTTAGGTTGGATATGTAAGGTTTGGTTGGGTTAGGTTAGGTTCGCTTAGGTTAGGTACAAAACTGTTGTCCACATCTCGGTGCTCGGTGCCGTTGGTTTTCGTTCCTACGCTCGGCGTCGGTTTCCACAACTTTTATTAATCCCAAGTCTTCCCTCCCCCATTTTCTCAACTTTCTCTGTACGTCGTGACATTCGACATCGATTTGCATAAGCCATTCCGACGCCTGGCGTCATTTTTCAAACTTCAGTTTCAAAGGCATCTTGGCGCTCAGTTATGCTAAATGTGAGGTGTTTTGGTGGCGTCGCAGCGATGAGCGTCTGTTATTCAGTAACTATCCCCATGCTTTAGAATCTTTCTTGAGAAGAGGAAAGTTTCTCGCGTTCTACGCAACAAGTAATGTCAAATCATTTCCACAACAACCAACCAACGGCACGTATTCAAATCCAATTCAATTCAGTCCAACTCACAAAATATTTTCTTAACATCCATTTTAATATTATTCGACAATTATGCTTCAGTCTCCAAATGGGTCTGTTCTCTCCGAGGATCTCACGTAAAATTTACGTATTTCTCGTTTCCCCCATATTAGCTAAAATAATATTAATAATAATGTCTATTTAATAAAGGGATAACATTATAAGCTTTTCATTCTACCCCAACTTATTTGGCATGACGAAGACGATAATAATGGAGTACAGACAAATGATATTCAGATTTATCTTCTACAACAAATGCGAAGTTGTAAAACTGAAAATAAACTGGTTTTAACCCCTCTTGAACAACCTCATTTTTGTATATTCGCATTAGACATCAAATTTGGGTTAAATTTTCGAGAGGCTATCAACCTCGATTAACGATAATGAGTCGACATTCTACAATCTTACTCGATGTATCGATACAAAAGATTACGCAATGAAACCTGACATTAACTAACAAACAAACTGTTCTTTCGAACCTCAGATTGTGTTGCCACAGCGGGACGGCGAAATGCTGACTTCTATGATGGGCAAGGTCCCGGGTTCGTACTCCGATCAAGCGATAGTGACATTGTGTGCACTCCGAGATGACGTCACCACTTCAGAGGCTCCCACCTGCGCCTCTGAGAAACTGACGCCTCAGTCGTCAGACCCCTTCCTGGGACTTCTGAGAAACGAGGACTCCAGCCAGCAGCACACGAGCCCGGAGCAAACAGAGGACGACGAACCACAGGGTGAGAAACGCACTTTGAAGCCCGAAGAAATTCAAGTAACATTTAAAGATTCGGTCCGTACCGCGAAGAAAACACATAACTTCACCATTACAAAGATCAACTGGTTAACCTTTTGAAGTCAAAGCTCGTCTAAATATTACGTATTTAAGAATTCGGTCCGTACCGCGAAGAAAACACAGCTCTTCACCATTACAAAGATCAACTGGTTAACCCTTTGAAGTCAAAGCTCGTCTAAATATTACGTATTTAAGAATTCGGTCCGTACCGCGAAGAAAACACAACTCTTCACCATTACAAAGATCAACTGGTTAACCCTTTGAAGTCAAAGCTCGTCTAAATATTACGTATTTAAGAATTCGGTCCGTACCGCGAAGAAAACACAACTCTTCACCATTACAAAGATCAACTGGTTAACCCTTTGAAGTCAAAGCTCGTCTAAATATTACGTATTTAAGAATTCGGTCCGTACCGCGAAGAAAACACAACTCTTCACCATTACAAAGATCAACTGGTTAACCCTTTGAAGTCAAAGCTCGTCTAAATATTACGTATTTAAGAATTCGGTCCGTACCGCGAAGAAAACACAACTCTTCACCATTACAAAGATCAACTGGTTAACCCTTTGAAGTCAAAGCTCGTCTAAATATTACGTATTTAAGAATTCGGTCCGTACCGCGAAGAAAACACAACTCTTCACCATTACAAAGATCAACTGGTTAACGCTGTTTAAGGAAATGATCGCTGTTTGAAGTGAGAATAGTACGAAACACGTAAATATAAAATGAAGAGTTATTAATTGTTAAAGTATTTTGGTACATATAATTACCATAAGGCTTTAAAGAATTAAACACCATTTGCAAAGAAGGAAATAGACAACCTAAACATCTTACAGTTTTCGTAAAATCTTTAAATTCTCTCACTGGACGACTATGAAGGGAAGTATTTAATGAGGCCTTCGTGGCAAAACAGTGAGTGTAGATGAGACAGTATTTGTCGCAAGTTGTAGGGATTGAGGCACATTCAGAAACATTTCAGAAAAAATAAACCAGGCACACGTACTCTGTGCGTGGACACGGTATGAACGCTATACGAATGCCTTGCGTATAAGACGTCAACAAATGATGGCTGTGTAGCGCACGTAAGAATCAATATTGATCACGTGACTGAAAAAACAAATGAATAATTCCCATGAAACAAAGAAATACAAAGATTTGTGTAGGATCTGAGCTTCTCAGGGCCGCGATTACAAATATGGCCGTATTCTTGGTTGCAGAACCGTCTGATGGATGTTTACCGACGTTTCAGAGGTCATTGCACTGATGATTGTCGTATGTGACCTAAATGTGGATGATAAAAATCATATGGGCATATTTATACAATTTAAGTTAATAATTTAAGTTTAATAAATGTTAAATGTCTCGTCTGACACTCTAAATCCTGAACAGCAAACGATGCAGAGAAGAGTCCAAGAGTTCGTCACAGATGCTTTACAATGTACGAGTTAAGTAATGATAATTTTTCTCGACAGGTGGCAGTGTATTGGAATGTCGATGGATCGATTGTTACGCGGTTTTTCCCGATCAAGAATCATTGGTGCATCATATCGAAAAAAGTCACGTTGAACTGAGGAAGGGTGAGGATTTTTCGTGTTTTTGGCAGGGCTGTCCAAGAAGGTCACGGCCTTTCAACGCCCGCTACAAGCTGCTAATCCACATGAGGGTTCATTCGGGCGAGAAACCCAACAAATGTCCTGTAAGTTGACGCAAATTATTTCTTTGAAAAAGTACAGATGTCTCGAAACAAATGCATCACAAAGCAGAATACTATAATATTACGTACAGAACTGAAGGCTTAATTGTTGATTTCAAATACTGGTTTACGATGATAACGTTTATTTATCGAGGGAAGATATAAATTGATTAAATAAATGCAAATACGTCCTGGAGCTGCTAACAAGCACGCACAGAGATGTATATATGTCGTCAATTGAATGAAGGACCATCATTGTGGCAGGTTTTAGGTATTTCGTGATAACAGCATTTATTATTTAGTGTTCTGTCTGACGACAGGTCCATATGAACAGGATCCTTCCATCCTTTTCTCGGACTGGGACCTGTTCATATACGTTCTTGGCAGATGATCCAGAAGTGGTTTGCCATTGCCTTCTTCTGTGTGTGAATGGAGTAATTGTTGGGATGCCACGAAGAAACCGGGGAAGCCCCCGGAGGGAAACTCCGTGTTTCCTAGACCACGGAGAAATCAAAATTACATTAAAGGGAAAATTAAGATTTACCGACGTTTCGGAGTTTCTTACTGACTCCATCATCAGGACCATTATGACCCTGATGATGGAGGCAGCAAATATCTCTGAAACTACGGCAAACGTCTACCAGGCTACACAGCGTAGCAACCCAGAAGACGAACATTTTCAAATGTGAGTGTAATATTTTAATATTTAATAAGAATTTATTGTGATTAGACGGACAAGATTTAAACAATTTTATATTTTCAAATGTATTCAGCTGATTAAATCGAAAAAGTTTGGTTGATCAAATGTCAGTATTGGGTTTCGAAATTCATGATCTGTAATACAGCGGTACATTTTTTTTTTTTGTTATTATTTGTGAATCTGGCCCTGAGTTTTAAGTAGCAAAGGAAATAGACACTTGAATCCATTAACAGAGAGGAAATCTCTGGCTTAAGTAATCGTACAATTACTAAAGACTATTAGCCTATACTGAGATACAGGAAGGAAAATGTACGATGACCTGTCAGTAATTCTTATAATCAGGGGTGTGTCTGCCCAAAGTTTCGTCTAGAGACATTCCCGTTTCAAAGTTTTTAACGAGGTACGATGAAACATTGGATAAAAATTTGATGTAAAGTCTTGATGACTTGAAGATTCGAGCCGGTGGCGTCCTCTGGTGACCCGTCTTATTTTAAACTCGCTCTCAGGGGTCAATGCCATCGACATTGACATCCTTTCCGCGCCTTAGACCTAGATAATTCAAAGCTGGGACAGCAAAAACTTGTTTTCTTAACCGCGTGTACAGTTTTCAACAGATTCGTCTGCGAGACGCGTCCTCTTCTACGCTCTGAAGCCACGCGCCCTTCAACGGAACAGGATCACGCGTTTCGAATCAAAGAGGTTATTCACGATTTTCCTCAGTAATCACAGATTTTTCGTATATTATGGCTGTCTTCTGGGTTGTAGCGCCGACGTTTCAGAGGTCATGCTGCCTCCGTGATCATCGCCGTAAGAACTTCAAATTCCACTTAAGATTTTCGTGGTTTTCCTCAGTTCTCCTCGGCGACTGTGCTCAGAATATCTTGATGCAAAACATGGCCAATACAAGGTATATTCTTCAAAATCAACATTAAATGTTGATAATTTCAGTTCTCCGCTAAAATAGTCTTTGTTGTTAATACTACGTCGTTGACAACCTGTGTTGATTTTCGTTAGAAAAGTTTCACGTGCTACGTCAGTGTTTCCCAAATTATGGCACGAGAAAATAATTTAGGTAGTTCATGACAGAAAATATATTAATAACAACTGTACCAGAGTTCTGTCTGTTATCAGATGACTCAGATATACAGAAAATTCTTTGAAATTCTGCTAAAGCTTGTAACTTTCAGTGTATTATTTAGATTACCTCTTAGATGATGATAATGTTGCGTCATATTGTGTTGAATATATACTTGTTCAATTTTATCAGTCTAATCACAATAAAATATTATTATTAAATATTAAAATATTATTACAATTAACATTTAAATATTTAAAATATATTAAAATGATGCTCTCTATCGAAATGTTCGAACATTTGTAATAATATTTTAATATTTTAATATTTAATAATAATATTTTATTGTGATTAGACTGATAAAATTTAACAAGTATAATACCTCTTAGCTTAATCACTACGCGCTTCCTGATATCATGAAAGTCATTGGGGGGGAGGGGGGGTTTGCCGACAAGGCCAAGATCCCGAAAATTGCACACAAATATTTTAAAAGTCTCAGAAAAAAAATATATATATTTAAAAAAAAAACTACCAACTTGTGATCTGCACTTCAACATTTACAGTTCCAGGGGTGCACAAAAGCATTCTCCAGGCTTGAAAACTTGAAGATTCATCAGAGATCTCACACGGGAGAGAGACCGTACTCCTGCCAGTACTCCGGCTGCAAGAAAGCGTTTAGCAACAGCTCGGATCGGGCGAAACACCAGCGCACTCACGTGGACACGGTAGGTAACCTCTCTCGCGGTCTGCGGCCAGCTTTGCCACTACAATCTTCTCATGAATCGTACAGTGAGGACACCCAAAGCCTCCCCCGGGGGTCTAAGTAGCCGTAGACTACGTAAACATCTGTTCTATGACGATATATAAACAACAGAAGATATATTACCTTTATTGACGATTATAAAGTTCAGACTATATTAAAATTCCAACTGCAAATCTCCAAAGTTCAAAGACATTTGACGCTGTACCTCAGAGACAACGGTATATTTATCTGCTTAGCAGAGTGGATTCAGCTGGCTCAAGACAAGGACCTGTGTCGTGCTGCTGTAAACACGATAATGAGCCCTGGGGTTCCATAAATGCGGGAAATTTCTTTTAAATTTTTTTAATTATCTCGATTTCTTCCATCGTCCTTGTTTTAAAAAAAATAAAACCACGACGTTTCGGAAACTTGTTACCGAAACGTCGTATTTTTAAACAAGGACAGTGGAAAATGTCCAGATAATGATTTTTTTTAATGTAATCTGCCATCATCAGAACCTTTTAGAGGGAAATTATTATCTTGACTATGAGGACGCCGGCCTATTCAGTTACGTGTGCGTCGAAAATATAACTGTTTATGAAAAAAAAACCAAAAATAACATTGGTATAAATTTCATATGTGTCATAAACCCTCGAAAGAAAATTTTCCAAAATACAGACGAAACTTCATTAACGTACAAAGAACGCCAGTACCAAGTTCCCTGAGTCCACATAGATTTTGAACTCTTATTTTTAGACTAAAACAATTTAGAATGTGCCTACATGCGTCTACAAACAACTTCTAAAAAACAATATAGCTGTCTTGTCTGAGCATTGTAGTCTGGTTGACGTACACCGGTTTAAGAGGCACCTGCTGCCTCCATCTTCAGTTTAAAATACAGCCCACTCCTGAAATGTTCCGGAGGGCAATTTACTTCCTTTCCTGTGGGTTGGCGACATTACTCATGGTCCAAACTGTACCCCGTGTTCTTGTCTTGCGCAGAAGCCGTACGCCTGCCAGGTTCAGGGCTGCTCCAAGCGATACACGGACCCCAGTTCGCTGAGGAAACATGTCAAGAACCACTCGGCCAAGGAACAGGTGCAGATACGAAAGAAGGTAGAGCAACACTTTTCACCAGCTGTCGGAGGTGCTGACATCTCAGATCAGCCTTAAGAACTATCAGCTCCTTTTTTTAAAAAAAGAAATATAACGCAATAGAATGGCATTGAACTTGGAACTTCCCAATGTAATCCTTACAAAATGTAAGCCAAAATAAAGTTTTATGAAGGTTAGGTTTGTTAGTAATGATAATCACGTTTCAGCGAATTCTGCACGCAGATTAATTATACCGGCCCCTATAAACTAGAGTCTTGAAATA